TCGAAAAACTACTCGAGGTTTAATGGTGTACGTTCGTGGTGATTCTAATTAATATCTTTCATGCATTTTTTTTATGAAGTTTTATAAAAATCGATGCTTGAGTGTGATCTCCTTGTAGCATATAAATCACGATATTCAAAGTTCGTTTAGGTTGAACCAATGATGTTGTTGCTTAAAAGGAAAATCTCAGAGATGATAATAGCAAAACATGGACGGTCGATTGTGTCGTAAAGAAAGCAGCTGTTATTAGTGATGGGATCTGAAACACTTCGAATCGCTTTGAATTTGTACTTGTCAGGCAGGATTCGAAGCTTAAAACTCGAAAATTTCGAAAGTTTTGATCCTTCTATGTTGTCTTGAACGTATCCAGTAGTTTATTAGATTACTTTAGTTTGAACAATAACAGGAAATATTGAAGAAAGTTCAAATTACAGAATACTTGTAATTAAATCAAATTTATCTCTATACATTTATAGAAAATTTGGAAATGGAAAATTGCATAAAATGCAGATAATATAATAAGCATAAAATGTTCAAAGTCAATCATCAACTTTTTACCGAGATCCTATTTTCTTTTTATAACAATTTGCATAGAAATCCTCATCAAGCTGTCGAACGCAAGATTTTCCAAATTTTCAATACTATCGAGACTTTTGAGATATTCAAGATTTTTAAGTTCCGAACCTGTATGTGTATACAGCGAACAATCATTTGGAATACGAATCGAATCAGTTATACTGTACATACATGTGCAAATTCGAAATGTTTCGAAGTGTCTCAAATTTCATTATTACTTGCCACCTTGACCCTTTTAACACGTTACTGTATCTCTAATTTTACTCTTACTTACCAACTATTATAACGAAAAACGAAATGAGAAGTTACTGCGGAAAGATAGATTGTTCCTTTTCTTACCACGGTTAGGATAAAAGCGAGTCCTTTTTGTCCCAACAGTGATTATGAAATAGAACGACTTTAGAAACTTACAATTAATTGGAAAAAAAATGTGTAGATCGTAGTAATTCTTTTACGTCGATTAAAATATTTTACGTTCGTTCGAAGTTACTATTTCATGTAGTCCAATGTCCAATAATACTAGAAGTCAGGATATAAGCGCGCTTAGTAGTGTTGAAAGGGTCGAACAAGAAGAAAAAAGAAACTTAAATTAGTCTAAATCGATCTTGTATCTTCTTTTATCAATCAAAAGCAACATCGAGTCGACTCATTGATGAGCTCTTCTCTCGCAGTGATGATCTGAGCGCTAGTACGATATCTGGCATGCTTGCGCCGCGTGACGTTCACAGTCGATTTGTAAGGATAAGAGAAAAATGAAAGACAGAAAATGGGGGAGAACGAATAGAACGGACGATCAAACTGTACGCGATACGAGTGCATGTCCCCTTAGAAAGTAGCAAACATGTTTGGCTGTCACTTACGGTATAAATTCACTTTTTTTGTCTTTTCGTTTCATTAAATATATATATACAAGGAACATCTAACATCGTAGTGAATAGCGTTTTATACACGAGTCTCCGTGATCGATTTTTGCCTTGAGCGTCTCTTTTCCCATCGCAACACGTAGAATTCGTTATTACCGGCTAGCTAGCTGAACGTACTCGTTTGATTTCATTGTGAGACGAATGCTCCTCCCTGCTTGATCCAAGTACGATCAATCGGTAGAAAGAGAGTCGTCGATCTTCGTGGATCTCTCGACTATCGGGAATTTCGACTCGATCGGTCATATTCGCGATCCATCTGTCGTTCCCGGTTCACGATGAAGTTCTGGTATCCGTCGAGACACGCGACTCAAGGTTTTCCTCTTTTTATATCTCGACCTCGTAAAGAATCCAGAGAGAAATCTACCCGATAAAATTCCTATTCCCACTATTCGTATACTCCGCCTTGCAGTTCACACAGTGAATCCTCTTTATAAAACGTCATTACTTCCTCGCGATCTTCACACAGTTTCATCATTTAGATTAGTCTCTCTCGCTGAAAGAACTTTTCTCCCCGTGTTTCACTGTGATTCCTTGGATCTTCTTCTCTCAATTATTCTTCATCGACGAATACCGGATTCTCCTATTTCCCCCCCCCCCCTCCCTTTGTTTTTTCAAGCGTTCCTTTAACTCGAAGAAAAAGCTGTGTTCACCCCCCTCCGTTGGTTTTGTTTTTTGTTTTTTTGTTTTTGCGACACGTCGTCGTCAACTGGACGATGGAAATGGAAAACGGTAGAAGCTTTCGGGCCAGGTGCCAGTCGAGTGTGTCGTTCGCTGGAATTTCACCGAAGGAATATCTTTCGTGAAATGAGTTCTTATTGTTCTTGTTCCAGAGCGTTTCTTTTTCTTCCTTTTTCGAATTCGTCGGACTCGACTAGAACTTGACTGGCACGGACGAGACGGTGTTTCCGTTTTTGCTGTTGTTCTTTAAAGCAATGTCGATGCCGTGAGAACATCCGGCACCACGGGCTTCGGAGGGGGGTCCAAACATCACACTCTCATCTCACTCATCGTAGCTTGGGACACACGACTCGATACGGTGGCATTCTGCAGCAGGGGCTGGTTCTCGGGTGGACTTTTTGCTCGTGGGGGTGGTGGGGCTCTTGGTACTGTCAGATGTATGGACCCGTTTGGTGGACCCTGAAATGTTCACGATAACGTTAAGAAAAGATAATTCGAACAGAATGAAACAGAAAAATTATTTAATTACAATCGAATCGCAAACGTTATAATAAATATCATAAATGTCACGCGATATCTCGTGCACGGAATCAATTTTTAACTGGTGTCACTGGATACTCGAAGCCACAGAAATCTATGCTTCACATTGCTCAATTATCGATTCAATTTCATTGTCTATCAAAAAGAGGGAAATATATAAAATATACAAAATAGGATTAAATAACTTAAATACCTGCGTCTCCACGATACGTCTACCACGATTTAACATTATCGTTGTCAACGTTACGAAATTTCGTCTTGTTATGTCGCATCGTGTCTCTTAGAAAGGTTTTCGAACATTTTAGGGGATACAAAAATTTTCGACGAAAAATGAAAATTGAAACAAAGGGAAAAGGTTTACTTCGTCATCTTCGTTATCCCCACTAAATTTAGGGAAATTCGCTAACGAGATAAAAGGATGGCACCGTCGAAATAATCGCCACACCATGGAAGAAGAAGCTTTCCCCGGTGTAAATTTCACCTGGTCAGACTTTAGCAGTTTTAAAAGCTCCTTAATAGGATTATGAACGGAGCTTCCAAAGGCCGTGGCTCGTTAAAACGGCGAAAGTTTTTTAAATGAACAGGACGGGTACAGAGATCTTCGATCTTAGCGTCATGAATAAACTCATTATTTATGGTAAATGGATATTACGAAATACTCCGATCCATTATGTTGCCTCGTTTTCTTCAAAACAAAAAAAAAAAAGAGGAAACGAAAATTGGATGTTGAATATGGTGTTTAGATTCTGTTCGACGCAATGAAATATTTAAATTCTCTTTAGATAGTAGCGTATTCAATTTCATTTGAAGAGAATTTTATATGACGCAAAAGTCACTTCTTGATTTATTTATTTTGTAACTTTTACAATTAACAGTTAAAAGATATGATTGGCACAGAAAGAAAGATTGATATCTTCTTACGTTGTATCAGATAAATCAGCGTCGTTATTTTATTTCACTTGTAACATTTTCTTTTTTTCTAATTTTTTTCAATTGATGGAAAGAGATCGTACAGCAAGTTTTGAGATATCGTTGTAAAAGAGGGAGCTCCAATCTTGAAATCCATTCAGTTATGAAAAAGATTTCACTTTGCTAGTAAAAATATTGTACCTTACATATATATAGAATAAAATGAACGATGTGTTTCGAAAGTAGTGACTTCGAGCTTTAAAATGAGCTCAAGTGTATTATCGTACGATTCTTTTTTTTTTTACAAAATTATAACAGTTTCAATATCTAGTGTCCGAATATTAATAGAGGTCATTTCAACTTTAAATGAATTATTAACAATTAATCACAGTAATACACAGATTTATATAATTTGATAATTGGAAAGTGACTTTTGCAGAGCTCTCTATAATACGCAAGTAGGAAAAAGGAAAAAGAAAAAAAAAATATATATATATATATATGTATATATACATATAAAAATTTAATAGATTAATAAAAATAAAAAGGTCAATACGTAAACGTTGAAAATGATCGCGAAAGTATGAAATTGTCGATTGACGATAGAACTTTATGAGACTTCGTTCCTCTATCTAATGCGTGACAGGCTGCTCGTAATCGTTGGAGTAAAATGACTGACTCTCACTTGGATTTGTGCATTCATGTCCTGTACGACGGAAGCTCGGGGAAGAGTGGCATGCTGTTGCTGATGTTGCTTTTGATAATGGTGTTGATGAGGCAACGTGTGAGTTCCCTGACCCTGTTGGAGAAGCGTGTTGGGATCGTTCGGAGTGCCTTTCATAACGTTCCTGGAACGACGATCGATCGTTACGAGCTTCGTAACAGTTAAGGATTATACGTAATTACTGGCCAAGTAAATGCGTCGCTACATTAACGTCGAACAAGAATCATGCACTAGGGTATATCCAGGGAAAAGGTGGCCACCGATGATACACAAATATATACGAAAGAGTGGCGTCAGAAACATATTTACAACATGAAACGATGATAAAGTGACGAGTGACGTGATATCGCGAATTATTGTAAACAGGGATTGGTGAGATTGGTTAGAAAGCAGGGATCGAGAAAGTTGTGGAACTTAAGAGGTTCCATTTGAAATATGGATCGTGGAATTTTTTTGAAAAAAAAAAACAAAAACAAAATATTCTTACATTGTAAGAAGAGAATTTACACGATATGAAAATAAATATTTTTTTCTGTGACGGATAATTTGTTCAGTGCTAAAAATGTTCTCAGTTGCTGTAACAAACATTGAATACTATTTAATGAAAAGCATTACAAGAATATTAATTAGTTATTACATGTTGTGAATAAGTTATTTATTTGTAACATTTACATAAATAATTTACAATTTAAGTCTGATTTGTATTTCTCTATGGAATGAACAGTTAAAAAGTTGTATGTTATTGAGTATGACAAAATGAAAATTCCACAGAAACACGTGTAAATTCGAGTTTCTAATTTTTCCAAAAAAACGGAGTAGATAACTGTTCGTTTCGATCGCTGTTAGAAAGCTTATGGAGGCAAAATTATCAACTAACGAACTCGTGACCACCTTTTCAGTCTGTGTCAATCTCTCTCGTTGTGTGTCCGACAATTTCATTTCGGCTGATGTTATGAAAATCAAACGAACTACTCGAAATAACTCGCTACTTCTGGCGTCTGTTTTGTGAATGTGAATTCGCGGTTAGCGAGAAGCGGATCGATAGTGGGAAGGGTCGAAAGGAAACTGTACCTTCGCAGCATCTCGTTCTCGACATCGACGATAACTTGACCGCTTCCAGGGAAATGAGAGTGCGGCGGAGGCGGTTGTTTGAGCTCAGAGAAACCTCGTGGTCCGCACTGTTGATTCAACATTTGTTGCTGCTGAAGGCTTTTCACTTCCAGCCGTGTTTTGTCCCTTTGGTAGTACACCCCCGCGAAGATCAGCACGTTCAAAATCAGCAGGCTACATCCGATCGCGATTGTCACGCTCAAGGCTGTAGAGTACGCGGCGTAACTGTGAATGAAAGAATATAAATTCATTTTTTTTACAATTCGGTTAGATCTCATCTTTTTTCTTTGACAAACAAAATAATCTCTGTTATCTTTGGAGATGCGAACAAATTTTGTTAGTGAAAGTCATTGAGTATAAAAGGAGCCATAATATGATAGTAATGACTTTTTTCGTAGGGGGAGGGATTTCGAAAGGGTTAACATTTCTTGTTAACAATTAAACAATGCAGCTCGACATTCACGTTCCGTGACTAGATATTATAAAGGCAAAATCATGACGCATCATGTGAAACTAATTGTTTTAATTACTCGTTACACGCACTTATTACTCAAAATTACACTGTTTATATTATTATCGCGAGATTGTATGTGATACATTTTTTTTTCTTTTTTTTTTATTAACGACAAATAATGGAATCATTTCACAATGAAAATTACATTTGCATTGGAAAGATGTAGATACAGAGGTAACCTTCAATTTTGGCCACAAATTAACGCTTATTAAGCCACTGCGCATCGAAATTAAATTAAGAGGAAACGAATCGGAAGATATTTGCCAGCAAAGGCAGTCGTTTTGTATAATATCCGGCAAAAATAAGGGAATCGTCACATATGCTTTTATGCTTCGGAAATTCTGGCTATACGATTTAGCAGATATTATAGACAGTGTTTCAAAGTGATACAAAGGCCAAGGGGTAGCGTAACGAGGTTCTTTATTAATGTTTTCATTACGTCGGCCGAAATTGCTTATTACGTACCCAACTGCATCCAAGCTTGCCAGAGTGTCTGTACTGGCGTTATGAACGTTCTGCAAATTCGTGCTCTGAATGTAGCTAACACACGTGGCGGCGTTATAGTCTGTGGTGGTCGGTGGCTCGGTGGTGATGTTCTTCTTTTTAAATTCCTCGCTAATCCTGCTGAGAGGGTCCGGTCTCACCGATCCATCGTACAGACTGGGGTCCGAGTGTCCACGAAATAGATTGTGCCTGGAATCCACGTCCTCCATTCCAGCTCGATGGAGTTCTGGGACGAGACGCAGCCAAACAGACAGTTGATGAGCTCTGTAATGATTCTTCATCTTTGGCCTCATGCCTGGGAAAAGATAAGAGAGGAATTTTAGAATTCACGCGGCCCCTTCTCTGCGCTAAATAATCTTTCTTTGGACAAAGTCTTTTTCTCGTTTCTTCGAAAACAATGGAGATATTCAAGATTGCTCTGTATTCAAGTATATTATGCTTACACTGGTGGCCAGGAATTTACACTTCTACTGCCAATAGTGTCAATAGAGTTGTCTAGCATATTTTAGTATATTGTATGTGGGAAATAAACAAGTTTGTCATTAGAATTAATTAGAGAAAGTAAGAAATTGACACGTAGAGGAATATGTCATAGGAATTTAGGAATAAGAATAAGAAATGAATATATATATATAGCATAATGTGTGTTATACATTACCATATAAAATTTAATAAAAACCAACTTTTTCTATCAAAGAAATCGATCATTCTATTTTATTATTTTCGTAATTATCAGAAAATCTTTTAATTCTAGCTTTGCCTGAGTTTAAGAGAAAATTAATATCTGTACGTCGGTTTTACAGTTGAAAATATCTAAACGACCGAAAATATAAACGAACAATTGAAAATATATAATATGGTCTTTTAAATAGCCTTGAAAGACGTTCCGTGCACAATACTGTCAACGCGAAACAAGCATCGGTACGTTTCATAAAGCGTGCTTTATTAAAAAAGTTTTAGAATTCGTCCCATCGGAATCTTCATCGAGTTTGTTGTGTATTAAGATTCTGAGATCCTTGACTTGAGTAATGAAGAATCTCGCGGTTTCGTCTGCGATCTGCGTTCCCCAGTTCTTGTTACAGCCAAAATTATCGGTTTCAACGAGAAGCGCTTTTCAAGGGAGGATTTTCAGCTCGCAATCCCCGGTGAATGTCGGCGGAGCTGCGCGCAAGTTTCGTGAAAATTTCATTCGAATAAAGAGACATTTCAACCAGGCGTGTCAGAGTTGAAGAGTTCCTTTTCTTTCCTCTCCCTTTCTCCCTCCACGTCGGTAGAAATAAAGAACACTCGCTTAAAAACCTACTTCCCTTTTGTATAACTTAGCGTACTGCCGGGATTTTGCTATATTACAGAGATCGAGTGAATTTAATGAGAAAAGTTTCAAGATTTCAGGATTTTAAAATGCAGCAGAGCCTCTATTATCCGAATATATACAATATCGTGCATAAATATTTCGACATTTATTAAAATGTTATTGGAATCTTTGCTCAATCTGTAAACGGATCTTTTTAAGTCCTTTCGGCCCAGAGAGGAATTTAGGAATCCTTGGATCTGGAACTTTTCTTCTCTAAATTTCTGTAAATTCTGTAAAACGGCGAGGAGCTCGTCACTACTGACCTCGTCGAAATCTACATAAAATTTCGAGCAAATAATAAATTTCATCAGAATGAGTGTCAAACCATTTTTCGCCCAGTTGGCTGCTTCGTATATGTATACGAACGCACAAAATTAATTCTTTTTTCTTCTTCGTTAGTCCAAGTTACGTCCACAAAGTGTGAACAGTGCGGATTTGCTCGTTAAGTGGAGAAGAGCAGAGTATAGACGGTGTGGAATCGCGTTTGGATTGAGTAAACAGCGTGTAATAGAATCAATCTAGCTTAGTTTAATTAAGTTTAGTCTCGAGTATATATTAAGTTGAATATACGCATCTTGACGTTACACTCAGCCTTGATTAAAATCATCTAATCTTCAAACCACGCAGAAGCAATCGCGAAACGATCAATTTGCATGGTCGCTCGACTCTTTAACACTAGAACTATCGACAGCTAAGACGAAGCTATTTCTACCAAAATCAGTCCAAACGACTAGTTTTGAAAAATATATAATAATAGAATATTTTTATATTTATTGGTTTAGGTTACTTTCTTACAAAAGAAATCCCATATTACAGTTAATATCAAATTTGTCGGGTTTACTCGGCAAATATTCAATAAATCTGTATCTGGCTTTAGCATTAAAACTACCGACAGTTAAGATGAAGCTATTTCTATCAAAACTAGTCAAAATGACTGGTCTTTAAAAAAAAAAACGTAATAATAGAATATTTTTATATTTACTGATTTATTACTTTCTTACAAAAGAAATCCCATATTACAATTAATACCAAATTTGTCGAGTTTATTCGGCAAATATTGAATAAATCTGCTTTAGATCTGGAAAGAGTTGTTTGTCAGTTGTAATATTTGCACCTAGTTTGTAACAACTCTGACTATTTCGAACAAACTTATCCCATACAGCTGATATCGAAGCAAATTTATCACTTTGTGAACGTTTGACTTCGTCACTTTTTTTTTTATCAAAGCGAATAAATCTCAATGTTTCGGAAAAATTATTTCATGATATTGGAAAAGAAGTTTGGTCCCCATTTTCTGTTTACATAAATAAGAAATTATAAATCTTTTACCTTAAACTCGAGAAGCTTCTAACTCCGTGCAGGATATTATACGTTCAAGCATATGGTCGTCAATTAGTAAAGATAATTGTCACCATCATGTCGAATGATAGTACTATAAATTCTAAAAACGTGTAAGAAATTGTACGAAACTGATTAATTCGGGTTCGGTAGGAACAGATCGTAGGAACCTTACACTTCGACAAGTCATGTTCACTGGTATTGGTATAAATAGCCATGATACAAAATTATTTTGATATCTAATAAATAAAAATAAAATGAAATTCATTACATTATTTCTTTAGTTATCACTGCAAA